TCCAGGGCCCACTGGTTGAGCGCGCAGGTGGCCACGGTCACCTTCCGGCCCATCCCGGCCACAGTCGCCTGGGCAGGAGACCGGCCGTACTGTGGGTCCTTGAGTCCTACAAAGACTAGCTGCGCCGGCGCGAGCCCTTGCCGGCGGTCCCGCCCCGCAAGGCGGACCTGGTGGCTATTGGACCGCTGAACCAGGGCGTCAGGCCCCGTCCTGATTCGCCCCGCCCCTCGCTTTGACCGCTCCGCCCACGCCTCGCCCCGCCCCCAGTCCGCCCCACCCCACCTCACGCGTGCTCGTCCCGCCCCTCGCTTTGACCACTCCTCCCGCGCTTCGCTGGTACGTAGCCCCGCCCCGCCCACCGCCCCGCCCCGCTCCCCCGCCCTCCAGCCACGCCCACGGAGCCAGATCGCGCCTGCGCAGTGAGGGAGGTCGGGCTGTACCTGATCTCTGCGCAGCCGCGCCGCGCCCCGCCGCGCTAACGGGCAGAGGAGTTGGTCGCCAGGTCCTGGAGCGCTGGTATAGGAGGAGGCCTGTCCCCTCTTCCCGCCCGTCTATTCTATTCCACATTTCGCCACAAATTGCACCTTATTGTGCTTCCGCATCTTGATGGTTCTTCCTGTGGTGGTGTTACCAACGGGGTCCGCCGCCTGCGGGGCTAGTAGCGTGTGGGTTCTTGACTTCCTGCAGGAAATGTGTTAGAACACGGGTCCAGATGATTTTGAGAGTATGTTTAATAAGACTGGGCACAGTGAAACAAGGACGGGTTTAGGGTAGAAGCAGCAACAGGAAGGAGCCTGGGCTGGGCTGCTTTTGATACCGGGAGAGCTGATCAGGTCCCTGGGGAGAAGGAGGGCGGGGCCGTCCGGGAGTTTGCCAGGCAATGGGACGCAGTCCAGGACGGGACTGGCTGAGAAGCAGAGCGCAGGGAACTAAAGAGGGGGCGGCGCACAGGCTCCCGGGCTCTAGGGCTCTCCAGCTCTTCTTCCTCGAGGATGGCTGATGAGAATGCCTGCGTTTCCCAAAGGACGGTATTCTGGATGGGAAGGAACTCCAGGCAGAGCCTAGGATCAGGCTGGCCTGGCAGAGCGTGGAAGGTTTATCCTTTGGGTGTTCTAGAGGGAACAGGCTGGGAGACAAAGCTTGCCATTCTTCCAAAGTAGTGTAGCTTTTGTATCTTACGTTGTTTGAGTTTCTAAACTAACCCCATAGAAATAAGGTAACTAAAAATGGGGGGAATGGTAGGAGAAGCCAGGTGTTAGAGTTTAGCCTCAGTTGATAAGTTTAAGTGATTAAAGCTGTGGCTTGACAGGCTTCCATGACTGCTTTTGAATAAAGGCTCCTTTCCTTTATCCCCAAACCTTTGCCTCTGGAATTTTGCCTAGAGGGTGGTGGCGGGCAGCGGGACCCCAATTGCTGGTCAGTAACACTTTGGCCCTCTAGAAATGTCCTAGGGAAGAAAGGAGCCTGGGTGGGTTGCTTTGGCTCACTGAGAAGTCAGAGAGAAGGGGGGCTCGGAGGCAGGTTCAGGGGGCGGCCAGGTCTGAGGGGCCACCGCCCACGGCTCCCTTGGCTGCAGGTCTCGTGGGGACCCTTAGAATTGAGAGAAACAAAAAAGTTCACGCTGGAGAGGAGAGGGCGCGCTACTGAGAGAGCCTGGTCTAGGTCCCCTGTCTTGAGGCTTTTCTCTCTCTCCGAGGGTGGGGTGCCTACCCTCCTCCTTCGAGGAGGCGGCCGCGGGGGAGGGTCTTCATAGGCCACACATTAGCTTTCCAGGGGTCTCCTCTGGCATGTCGATTCATCAGGATGAGTGTGTAGAGGTCAGGGTTATTCTCTGGTCAGTTCAATCTGTCTTTAAAGAATGTCACTGAAGAGGGACGGGACCAAGGCTGGCCTGCCCCAGCGCAGTCTGGAATGTGTAAACCATTGGCTCCCGAGTGTCCTTGGTTAGGGAAGATAAGACCTTGTGACTCATTAGCTGGCTATAAATCGCTCAAATTCTTTGGCTTTGCTTGATTATTTTGTCTCGGTGTCCCTCATTACATTTGCCAAGGAATTTTACTCGCTTCTATCGTGCCTCAGTATCAAATTCATTCTTTTCATTATTTTTCTGCAGTTCTCCATCGGAGGCATAAAGCACCATTTATCCACGCATTTAAGTCACTGGCAGCATTGTGCCAGCACACAGGGCTTGCGCGCACACATGCGGCTGCCGCGTTCATTCCTCCATGGCGCCTCCTGTAGTTTCTCTGTACCTGCAGATGGCAGTTTCTGCAGGGCCTGTGCCCGCCTGAACAGTACTATGCGCGTGTTTAACATTTTAACATTGCCAATTCCTTCTCTGAAGCGCTTGTGCCTATTCACTACCTGCAGTTTTCCTTTTACTATTTCACTCGTTAGTCCACTTAGGAATTTTTATTTTCCTTTGTGCATCAGAGGCTCACGCCACCGTTGACGGAATGGCCTGTCCCTTTCTCCTAATTTGCAATGCTACACCTCCGTTGGGCATACACACGTTTTCACATTTTAAACACTCTATTCCGCTGTGTATAATGCACACCCATGGTTTTGCGCAATTCATACATGGGATTATCATACCCTGATTATACCCATGGTATGTACTCATTTGTACCTATGTATAATGTGCACCCTTATTTTTCCCTCAAATTTGGGCAAAAAAAGTGTGCATTATACACAGCCAAATACAGTAGCTTTTTCCTCTGTTTATAAAGCGATGCTGGCTCATGACAATTTGGAAACCCCAGCAAAGCACAGAAACATTTATGATAATTCATTAAATCCTTATGTCTAACCTGTGGGGTTAGTTTTCATTCCCAGAAACCTCTCGGTTCTTCCCACCTCCAGCTGTAGCAGAGAATAAGGAAATCCTCAAAGAGTGAGGTGGGCCTGCTACTTGAAAAAACATCAATGAGAAGGGGCCCCCCACTGGCCAAATACAGCACAATCTGAGTGTTCAAAAGAGAACTTTTTTTTAAGTGAAGGAGAGTACAGGATCATAACTCAGCAGAAAATCTATTAATCCGTACTGACAAAAAATAGAAGAGGAAAATTCTTCACAGAAGAATGCCAACTAACAGATTTTGAAGGAATGATGAAATGAGAAAATCACCCTTTTGAACCAAGAGGTCAGCGATTCAGGCAAAAGTCTTCATTAAGTGCTAGACGGCTGGATGAAGGTCGCGGGATGGAGGTCGTTTGAGAACAGTAAATTGACACAGTCTCAAAGTATCACCCCACGGGGTTACTTATTAATCAGGAGGGGGAAAGTGGAGACTCCTGGCAGAAACCACCTGAACCACACTATCAGACTTATCATCGACGATGGGACAAAGTGACATCGTGTTGCCTCCTGATAGGACGCATGAAGACACAATGTCATCTATGTAGCATATTCTCCTGCCCCTAAAGGGACAACCGAAATGCAAGGGTGAGGAAACCAGCCACACCCAAAGAGAGAGCGAGCAAAAAGTTAGCCCGGGTTCTTCAAAACTGTCACTTCATGGGAGACCCAAGAGATACAATATAACACGTTCATGAGGCTGTTGTTCCCTGCTCCGGACTAAGGAAGGCTAGGCCATGAGGATTAAAAGCACCATTTCTAATTAGATCCTGGGTTTTTCAAAAGCGCTCTAGAGGACATTACTGGGATGTTGGGCTCACTTGTGCATGGACAAATATATCAGATAATAGCATTGCATTGATGTTAAATTTCCAGAGCGTGGTCATTTTATTTTAGTAATGTGAATATCCTTGTTTTTAGGAGATAGATACCGATGTGTTTAGGAGGGAGGTATCATCTGCAGCTAAGGATGGTTGCAGGGGTGGGGGAGGGGATAACACACAGAGGGAGAGGGAAGTTGATACCTGCGGAATCTAGGTATATGGGTGTCACTTCGCGATACATTCAACTGGTTTGTTGATTTGACATTTTTCAAAATTAAAAAAAAAAACCCTGCAGGAAAAAGAAATGTCTCTGTGAGCGCCACAGAGATGGGCCAAGCAGATCCCTCGGCCAGGAAGCCCGACGCGCCGCGTGCAGGAAGTGCGGCCTGCAGACGCCTTCAGCTGCCCGCCGCTCCCGCTCCCACCGCTCCCACCGCTCCCCGCGATGCCTGACAGTACAGCTGCCCCGCCCAAGGTCACGCCCTTGCAAGGGTGGCCCGTGCCCAGTGACCCAGGGAGGCAGGAGTGTATGGTTGGACCCTTCCCCAGTGCGACAACTCTGAGCGGCTCGCTTCTCGCGGCAGCTTCCCCGTGCCTTTGGCCAAAGCCGGGGGCGAGCTCTGTGACTCAACCTCTCCCTCTGCCCAATGCTGCAGCTTCCTCCCCTCCCACCTCTGCGCAGGCGTGATCCCTTGTAATCATCCCACCCTAAACCCCGTGTCCGGGCCGCTTTCTGGGGAACCGACCTGTGATGGCCTCCCCGCAGGGAGCCCTGCCTGCCACCCACCAATAACCTTGCTCCTCACACACTCCATCTGTTTCCCTGGTTTAATCTCCTCACCATCTGACGCCCTTTATGCCGATATGATTGCGGGATGGTTACTGCCTCCTGCCCCCAAAGCAGGGATTTTGTCTGTTTTGTGGACCCAGCCCCTGGCCCCCAGATACCCTGCATTTGCTGCGCGCCTTTGAAGCCCCACTAGCAGGAGAGGATACTGAGGCACGGAGTAAGCAGCTTGCCCACGACCACGCGGTAAATGGGCGGCCGAGCCTCGCGCGGGCGCAAACAGTAGTCTCCGCAGCGCCCGCTACACGGAGACCGGCTTCCCGCCCCCTGCCGGGGAGGGATCCTCGAGGCAGTTTCTCGGCCGTCAATCTCGCGCCCCGCCGCCGCTGAGTGGCGCGTGCTGTGGCCTGGAATCTGCTCAGGGGACGGGGCTAGGCGCCGCGGCCCAATCGTGGGGCGCAAAGAGGCTCAGCGCGCAGGGGCCGCCTCCGGTTGGTCGACCACCGCAACACGTTAGCGTGGGGGCGGGACCGCGGTGGTTAGATTACGCGGGCCTCGGAGGACGCGTATCTGAAGGCGCGGATCAAAGTGCGCAGGTGAGGCGGACGCGTGTGCGGGGTGGGGCGTGCGCAGGTGTGAGTGGGATCGCGCGCAGGTGAAGTAGGGGGGCTGGTGCACAGGCGGGGAGGGGCTTCGTGCGAGCAGGTGAGAATGGGCCCGGGGTTCTGGAGCTGCGCGCAGGTGGACAGGGGGTTCGCGCGAGTCCAGGAGAGGCCGAGGTTTAGGGGCGTCAGTTGGCCCAGCCCGTGACGGCCCTTCTGGGGGGAGTCTGTGCACCGCGGGTGGGGGTGGGGGCGTTGAGGCTGGGCGCGCAAGGGGTGCACACAAAGGGCCCTTTCTCTTTTCCAACCAGGGCTGCTTTCCATCTCTTAACGATTTATCGCCTCTTTCCTGGATACTGGATAATTTTACTAAAAAAGATCTTAGAGGTGGGAATTGCCCCGGTAAGATTTCTGACAGCAGCTAAAGAAAGGAGAGGGGAAAGCGGGAGGTGGGGACGATGCCGTCCACAGTGAAACATGCCTGACCTGCTGTCACTTCCTGTGCGTTTCCTGTGTGCCTGCCAGGCTCTCGGAACAACCTACGTGTGTGGCATCGCCCCATTTTCCCGAATCGGGAAGTGACCTGGAGAATCGCTTACTGAGAGGGTGACAGGGCAGAAGTTCAAACCCACAACCCTGGTCGCATTGCTCTGGTTTAGGGGAACAGCTCCATCTGCCACGCCTGCATTTGGGGCCCAGGACGGGGGGCAGAACACCATCCTGGGCCCCCTCACCTCCAGACCCCCACGCTGATGGCCAGTGCTGACCCAGAGGGCAAGGGTGCCTTCTGCACCGACGGCCTGGCTTATGCTGCCTTGAAGTTTTTGTTTTCAGCCATGACTTTCTGCTCAGAGCCGAGAGAGGAGCTGGGTGGTCCAGTGACCTTGGGTGCACCCGGTCTTAGGGCCAGGCGCCCTTCTTGTGCCCACTGGAGCTCTTCCTCTGGCCACGTAGGTCAAGAGACAGGAGCCGGGCTCCACAGCGCGCCATGCTGGCTGCCCAGACTTAAGATCGGAGGTCTAGGAGCTGCACAGCGGAATGAGGGGACCCGCTCTTTGTGAACACAGTTTGGCGACTCCCTTTTTAATAGGGCTCTGAAGAGTCCCGTTCTGTCAGACATATGGGTGGCTGGGCTGGGGGAGCTGAGAAGCTTGGGGGCCGCAGAGGCCCGGGCAGGTCCCAGAGGGCGGAGCCTTCCACCTGTGGGACACTTGTCCACCAGTATGGTGTGCGGGCAACACCCAGATCCTCTTTTGTAGTTTGCAGCTAAAAAAAAAAAGTGGCAGGCTTGTGTAGTAGATGCACATAGCAGGGCACTGCATCCCAAGACAGGACAGGGGAAGTTGCCAACGACTTTGGAAAGAGAGGCAGGACTGGGGGGGGGGGGGGTGTTGTGCAATAGCTCCTGCAACCATCTGGGAGGAGACACACCCAAGTTAATGATTCCTGGGGATGGGTTGGAGGCGGGACGGAGGTGAGGGGCTTGAACCTGTGACTTTTACACTTGCGTCATCAGATTGCCAAGCTTTCCAAAAGTAGGGCCCTGTCGCTGCCGTCAGAGCCAGGGCACACGCGTGCTTCTGGAGGCCTCCTGAAGGGCCTCAGCCCTGCCCAGGGAAGCCGGGCCGAGCTCGCTAGCACCCGGAGCTTGACGGAGCCACCCTCCTGGGAGTGGCCCCACGTCTGGCACAGGAGGCTTGTGACTCGGGTGTGTGAGTTGAGGCTGTGACCACACAGCAGGTGGGGCGCGGATAAAGAAAAGCTGAAGGTAAACCCAAGGGCCACCTCCACGGTCATCCTCGCCATCCCTTGGGGACAGATGACCTCCCAGACTCCAGTTAGAGCCCCAGAGGTTCCCACGGTTGGGGATCTTATGACTCCGAGGGCTGTTGAGAAACTCCTTTTGTTGTTAAATCATCTTATTATACAAGGACGTTTCTACCAGGAAAATTAGGAAAAGCGGGGGAAAAACCCACCTGTGTTTCCAGTGTAAGGTTTTGGTGCTCAGCTTTTTAAATAGTATTTTTAGCAATAGACTATCTTGCAACTTGTCCTTGCGCTGTAACGTGCCGGGGAACTCTTTTTGCCTGTTGAGCCCGTTCTTTAAAAAAAATCGGGGGCTGTTCCAGGGGACCGGTGTGTCATTATTCACCTGATCACCCCAGAGGCGGGGCCCGCATTTTGCGTGTAAGGCCCAGACCGCCGCCCCCCGCGGAGGCTCTCACAGCTGCGCGCCTGCACTGGCTCCGGAGTGCGTCCCGCAGGGCGGGGCTGGCCTGCCTGGCCTCTGGGGGAGCCGCTGCCCCGACCCCACTGGCGCTGAACCCTGTCGCTCTGGCCGTCTGAAGGCCAGGTCGGGGCGTGGGTGCATTTTTCAGCCTCTACCCCTGCTTCACCTCACGGTTCTGGCGTTATTCCCACGCAGTGTGGGCCTTTGTGTGTATGAGGGTAGGGCCTGCCCAGCGCGCAGAGCCACCGAGGGCTGTGTTCACCCTCGTCGTCCTGAAGGTCACTGCACAGCCTCCTGCTCTGTGGAGCGTGAGCCTCCGTGGGCCCGGCCCCGTGCCCTTGGCCTGGGTCTGTGCGCGGGGAACAGCCCATTCCTCTGTCCCTCCTCGCGCCGTTCATCTGAGACGGGGGCCTGACCGCGCCGGCTCCCGAGGGCCCGCGTGAGAACTCCGTGCGGGGGTGGGCAGCTGGACCTTGGCAGATGCTCAGAACAGGGGCCTAGCGAGTGTAAAGAGCTGCCCGAGGCCACACGGCTTGAATTCCTCACGGGGGCACGTTGGCACGGGGAGCTGGTCCTGCCGAGGACCCGCCGCCTTGATGGTGACCGTCGGGCCGCCTGGGCATTCACCGTGCCAGCCCCCAGCGCTTCCCTGCCGTGGTCCTGGCTCTCCAGTGTGCCCCCGTGTTACCAAGCCCTCGAGATGCTAGAAAGCCGCCGCGAATCAAGTCATCGGTCTTGACGGTCCCAGCGTGTCGGTGGTGGCGGGCGCACCTGGGGCGCTCGTCCGCCCTCCCTGGCCGGGGCCGTGCTGTGGCCTCTCACTGTGGCCCCAGGACGCACTTCAGCGCAAACCATAAAGGCACTTTGAGGACCAGGCTTGTTACTGCCAGGTCCTGAAGGGGCTGCACAGCGAGGTCACAGGGATGGGGTTTGGGGAGAAGGAGAGAGGTGCCTGGGGCCCCCCTTGATTAGGCACAAGGGTGGGGTGTCTAGGGCCTCCCGGGTTTCCTGGTGGCTGATGCGAAGCCTGAGAGTGGCGATTAGGGCCCCGGAAGGGGGCAGCCGGGTCAGGGGAGCGGTCCGCTCCCCCACTGCCCCGGCTGCCCCGGCTTCGACCTCATGGTCTCGCGGGAGCTGCGTCTTGAATCTGGCCCCATGTTTATTTAGCATGGATGTGTCTGAAATGAAGGCCTCCCGCCAGGCACAGACATGACAACCAAAAATCTAAGCCCGGCCCCTTCCGCTGCATCATCCCCACCCGTCAGGGACAGCGTCCCCTTAGCTTTTGTCTGTGGCGCTCAAGTACCCAGCCAGGGGGCTGATCGGGCGCCAGGCAGCCCACGTTTCCCGGGCGCGCCTCCGTTCCCAGGTGTGGCAGGCTAGCCCTCCTTTATCCAGCTTTAACGGTGACCGCAGATCCTTGCGTGCGTGGGTGTTCATGCCCACCCACCCGGCGCGGGGGGGGGGGGAGCGCCAGTCCCCGCGTGTGCAGAGAGCCAGGCCCCGAGCCCACCTCATGCCCTGCAGCTCCGGGCCGTAGCATCTCACCGGCTCCTCGAACGCGCCGGTGGGAACGAGCGCACTTGGGGGGCTTGATTCATGCTGACGGCACCGGCGAGCTTCTGGAAATGTTTCAGATGCGGGCGCCCTCGCGGCTGCCGCGTGTACATCCACAAGAAAAACGCCTTTCGGTCTGGTGCTGCTCACCGGGCTACGCCTGCCTGGCCTACGGCTTCCTGTCCGTGAACCTCCATCCCTGCCACGCGCGCTGTGAAGTGGCTGCCGTTGGCCAGACACTGCGTGTGCCCGGTGGAGAGGCGCGTGGCCAGCTCGCCACCTCGTGGGCGAGGCCCCTCCATGGGTCCCTTCCCATTGTGAACCCCTGAGCTCGCACCTCTCGCTTGGTCCCAGCGGTGGGCCCTGAATAAATCTCGCCTGGGCCCTTACCCGCACGGGGTCCAGAAGTGCCAGCTCCCTGAGCGTCCTTCGCGTCTGTGTCCTTGCAGGACGCTGTTCAACGGGTTGAGAAGAACCAAGCAGACCTTTCGGATTCTGAGTCTAGGAATTTTAAAGAGACCTGTTCAAGGAGGAGAGCCTCCCCGCTCTGCTGTGGACCTGCCTGACCGAGGCTGGCGGTGAGCCCTGGCTCGTGGGCCCCACGGCGACCTTCCGGCGTTAAGGAAGTCGAGACGGCAGGTACCTCCACTCCCCGCGTCCGCTCCTGTCTGTGAGCCTCAGGGGAGAAGTAAAATCCACCCGGGGCGCCTCCCTGCTCCCCACCTCCGTGGTCAGGGACGTGACACGTGGGTAACGCCATTCCGTGCCTGTGACAGAGAGGTGACTCCTGGCTGTAGGAACTCTGTGATGAGCTCAGGATGTGCACCTGGTCTCGTTTCAATCTGTCGCAGAGCGCGTGTCCCCGAGGCCGGCCCTTTCCGGCCGTTTTCGCAGTTTTCCGGCCCATTGGATAACGCAGGGTGGGGCCACTGCCCAGGGGCGTCTCCACGCGGCGCAGGCCTCATCGGGGCAGAGAGCATGCCCATCCGCTCCGCTGTGCCCTCCTGTGCGGCAGGCGTGCACATCGGGGCTTGAGAAACGCGGGAGCAGAGCGGTGGGGTGCCGAGGTGCTCGGTGTGACTGGGACGGCGGATGGGGCCGCCATAAAGGCAGGGTCTGCAGGGCCCTGGCCGGGCGGCTTAGCTGGTTAGAGCGTCGTCCTGATGTGCCAAGGTTGCTGGTTCGATCCCTGGTCAGGGCACATACGAGACTCAACCAATGAATCCATCAGTAAGTGGGACAACACGTTAATGTCTCTCAAAGTCAATTTAAAAAAAAAAGAGAGGATCTGAAGTGCGTAGGAGTCGCTGCCCGGCCAGGAGCACTGAGAGAGCCTCAGGCGGGGGGCTGTTGAAGGCCGCCGACCTGTCCAGGTGGCTCGGATCCCAAAGTCCTCGTTCCTGGAGGGTCAGCGCTTCCCGGGGCCACGTGTCCTTTCATCTTCAGTTCTGCGCGTGTGAGCAGAGGGGTGCCACGCGCCGGGCTCCCAGCTGTGCCTCAGGGCTGAAGGATGGGGGTCCCCCGACAGAGAGCTCCTCGCCTGGCCGGGCCCTGCGCAGACTCTCGCGAACCAGCCTGTGCACGCGACGCCGGTGCTGCGGCCCTCGTCCCCGCGCTGCAGATGGCGATGTCCTTCCTCAGGGATCGTTTTTGTTTATTTTTATTTTACTGTTTTTAGGGAGTGAGGGGAAGGGAGGGACAGAGAGAGAGCGAGAGACACCGATTTGTTGGCTCGGTTCCCGCGGCAAGCAGGGCGCTCTGCCGCCTGGTAGGGAGCCGGGGCGAGCAGACGGGGGAGGCCAGGCGGGGGTTGTTGCAGGTTCTGGGACGGTTCGAGCGCGGTGGCCTCTTCCCGGCCTGCACCCTGCTGTCCAGGACAAGGGCGAGCGAGGGGGCCAGCCACGCAGGGCCCGGGATCCTGGTGTCTGTGCCCCAAGGGACACCCTGAGCCCAGTGTCTCTCCTTCCCGCAGGGCCCCATGGCGGCAAAATCCCAGCTCAGCGCTCCCAAAACCCGGAGTCCCGGTGGAGCTGTCCGCGGCGGGGCGGCGTCTCAGGGACAGTGGGGCCGCGCCTGGTAAGGCTCTCGTCGTCTTCCAGCTGGAAAATGAAGCGGGCCTTCGTGAGGGGATGTCGGCCTTGCAGGGGTGTGGGCCACCGCAAACCTTGTGATTGTCGAGAGTCGCGAAAGGTTAAGCAGCTTCTCGTTTTATAAAGTTAAGGAATTAAACTGCAAACACATTCGCAGGCCAGCTGCCGTAGTGGCTGTGCTGCGGGGCGGGGGCGGGGGCGGATGCGTGTCCCCCACGGTGCGCCGCAGCCTTGCCCCGTTCAGACGTGGGGCCCGGGGCTTTCGGTGGGTGCCCCCGCGCTGAGGGGCTTCCCTGGGCCACCGCGAGGGGACCCGCACATGCAGGCAGAGCGGTGCGTGGGAGGCCAGGGCAACCCGCCGGCCGGCGTGACCGTCCGGCCCCGCCCCGCCCCGCAGGGAGGTGGACTGGTTCTCCCTGGCCAGTGTCCTGTTCCTGCTGCTGTTCGCGCCCTTCGCCGTGTACTACTTCATCATGGCGTGCGACCAGTACGGCTGCTCGCTCACGGCCCCCGCGCTGGACCTCGCCACCGGCCGCGCCCGGCTCGCCGACATCTGGGCCAAGACGCCGTCCGTGACCAAGGAAGCGGCCCAGATCTACACCCTGTGGGTCACGTTCCAGGTGAAGCCCCGCCCCCCGCTGCGTGGTCAGGGCGCGTGGGGTGCCAGGTGGTTTCTTCTGCCGAGATGGTCGAGGCCATTCGTCCTGGCTCAGATTGGCATTCTCGTTCCCACGACCCAGCAGGACGTCACCTGCGGGCAGGCGTGCTCGGCCTCCCCATCACACGGAGGGTGTCCGACACGCTGCAGTGTGAGCCCCCCGCAGTTCAGGAGGGGCCGGCTGTGCGGTGGGGAGCCAGACCCCACGGGCGCACAGGAGGGCCCAGGGAAGCCCCGTACACGACAGGGACCTTACCTTCCAGTGGGCTGTGGGAAGGGGCACCCACCCCCAGAGGGACACTTGTGGTCTGTGTTCCCGCTCGGAGTCGGTCCCGGCCAAGGACGTCTGCGGCAACGTTGGGGCCTCGCAGCCTTGCAGACCAGTAGGCGTCCACCAGGGAGACGCGGCTCGCTCAGTGGGCCTGGTGAACGGAGGGGGGCGCTGTTTTGCGCCCGAGCCCAGCCGTGTCCGGGAAGCGGGTGAGAGGAAGCGGCCTCGGGGCTGACTTGCCCTGGAGCGCGGCATCGCTGGGGTTAACTCTCTCCCCAGGGCCCAGCTCTTGGGCTTACCTCCCCACGTGTGTCGGTCCCTGTGGCGTGAAGCGCTGTGGGCAGCCTGAGTCGGTGGCCCGACTGTGGGACACCCCAAGTGTCCGTCGAGGGCTGAGCACGAAAACACGTCGTCTGCCCACGCGGTAGAGTGTTGTTGAGCCATGTGTCTATGAAAAGCCCAGGACGGGCAAGCCTATGGGGACAGAAAGCAGAGTGGAGGTTGTCGGGAGCTGGGAGGAGGGCTGGGGAGCACGGAGGAGGGCTGGGGAGCACGGAGGAGGGCTGGGGAGCACGGAGGAGCGCTTAGAACGTCCCGGAGTCAGAGGGGGTGGTGGCGGTGCCGCCCTGTGGATGTGCTGGGTGCCGCTGGCCGGCGTGCCTTGGAGAGGTGCCGTGAACGGCCTGGGGACTGGACCTTGGCATTTTTCAGCGGCTCCCAAAGTGAGAGGCACAGACACAGGCTGGTTCTGCTGAGGGGGCCAAGCGAGCCCCGGGCTGGGGGGCTGAGAGGGTAGCGGTTTCTGCCCCCAGATGCGCAGTCAGAGCTCCCAGAGCTACAGACCCTTCTGGAAGAAATAGCCCCCCTGAATCAGGCTCCTCGCGTGCCCTGCAGCCAGGCCATCCGGGGCGGCTCAGCCTGAATCCTCCTTTCCAGGTGTTCCTGTACGTGGCGCTTCCTGACTTCTGCCACAAGTTTGTGCCGGGCTACGTGGGAGGCGTCCAGGAGGGCGCCGTGACTCCTGCAGGTGACCTCCCGGGCTCAGCCCGCGGCGTGTCCCTATCCCTTCCTCGCCTGGGGCCAACGTCTGCTCACTGACAAAATGAGGGTGTTCAGGATTTCCCCCGCACCTGGCCGCGCCACAGCCGAGGGCAGCCTGGGACCGCCTGGGACGTGAGGGGGGAAGGCACGGTCTTCGGTGCAGGCGCTTGCCGGCGGTGGGTGGGCGGGCGGGCGCTCGGTGCCCAGCGCAGGCCGGTAAGTTGGCCTCTGGGTCCGCCAGCCCGCCCGTCCCATGCACCGCACAGCGGACGCTGAACCCTGAGCTCTGCAGGGGCGAGACCGGGCAGTTTATGGGCAAGGTGCCGAGCCAGGATTGTATCAGTGATGTTATCTTTAAAGCAAAAGACAGAAACTAAACCTCTCGTGGCCCTCGTTATGTGACCCGAAAAAGCTGTTACTGCGTTTCGTTCAACTGGCTACGTCTCTCTGTTGAGTCACGCAGTGTTCTTTTAAACATTCCTGCTGGAACTTGCTTTACAGACACGCCTCCAGGCCATGACAGACAGGACTTAACAGTCTTTGGCTCTAGGCTCGGTAACCACCAGAGTGACTCGGCATGGCGTTCAGACCCTCCCCAGCCCCTCTGCGCTCCAACCTGCTCCCTAGATACGGTCGCTGTCCTCTACTGGTTCTGTGGCCACGAGCGGTGCTCGGGACCAGAGGACTCACCGGGCCCTTCTCTCTCCCCAGACGCACAGGCAGGGACAGGGGACCCCGGACTAGCAGCGCGAGGCGCGCCGGGCACTGTGACCTGGGCAGGGGGTGCCGTGGAGGCTGGCCGGCTTTCCGGCAGCAGCCCGGGCGCGCTAGCCCGGGACCTGAGCCGGCCGCCGTCGCAAACACGCCTTGATGCCGCAGTCTTCCCTCCGCAGGCGTCGTCAATAAGTACGAGATCAACGGCCTGCAGGCGTGGCTCGTCACGCACCTGCTCTGGTTCGCCAACTCCCACCTGCTCGCCTGGTTCTCGCCCACCATCATCTTCGACAACTGGATCCCGCTGCTGTGGTGCGCCAACATCCTGGGCTACGCCGTGTCCACCTTCGCGATGATCAAGGGCTACCTCTTCCCCACCAGCGCCAGAGACTGGTACGCCCCGCGCAGCCGGTCACGCCGCGGGGGACGCGCACGCTGCCACTGTTTGCCTGGCCTGTGACCTCGGACGGGAGGCCCGCAGGGTTGAGAGGGTTGAAGGGGCGACTTCGTGGGACTTGTGTGATCTGGGAGCAGCCTTTCTGAATGTCCAGGGGGCTTCTGCCTGAGGAGGACTTCGGGGACGGTGGCCAAGTCCGCCTTCGGCGGCCGAGTCATGGGAGCAGGGAGGTGGGAAAGGCAGCTTCTGTCCAAGGGGTGGGGAGCACCTTGCCTCTCTCTGGAACCTCTGTGTGGCCCGGAACAGTCTTAGTGAGGAGACTTGTTATTTCAGTGGCTGTAATATAGCAGTTTCCCAGGAGAGTCCTGTCCTCCGAGAAGCCTTGGGTTAGATAGTTGTCATCCACCCACCCATCCATTTATCCTTCCACCTCCGTCTGTCGCCCGTTCCTCCACCCACCCACCCATCCATCCTCCACCCATCCCCCCACTCACTCCCCCACCCATCCATCCATCGATTCATCCCTTTATTCACCATCCATCCGCCCCCCTCCTTCCACCCTCCCCGCCCTCCATTGTCAGCGGGTGTTGGCTGGGTTCCTCCTGTAGACAGGTAGGTGTAGGCAGCGGGGCTTGAGGCGTGAATAAGATTCTTGTTCTTGGGGCGCTTTCGTTTTGCTCTCGGGGCCCAAATAAAACCAAAGCGTGTTCCCTTTACCTTGGACGCCTAGGCTCCTGGGAAAGGTCGGGGCGCCGGCGTGCGTCGCGCGGTTGTCAGGCGTCAGGCTGGGCTCCAGGGCCTGTGGAGGCCATCGCAGCTGCTTTGTCGTCATGGCGCCTGCTGCGGGGTTTGCACATTTTGCTTCTTCCTCCTCGTGTGGGGGGAAGCGGATGATGTTGCTTTTCTAACCGACACAGAGATCCCTGTGTGTATGCAGCAAGATCCACCTCACGCAGGCCTTCGCCTGGGTGACCTTGGCTGATGCCTCGTCCCCCGCCAGAGGGCTGTGGGGCCAGGTGACCAGGGCAGCCAACGGCTAACAAACTCGTCCTGCGAGAGACGTGGGCCTGGAGCCGGCACCAGGCTCTGATCGCGGCGCTTTTCTGTCCTCCTCATCTTGGCATAACTTGTGTCCCTTGCCTGGGGCCGGGGGGAGGGGGGTGAAGGCCCCAGAGTCCACTGTAGACCACGCGCTTGGCCGCAGAAGGACGTCAGTCCGTTTGAGCCAGGTTTGCCCCACTGTGCTGCGCCTCACGGGAGCCTGGGGGCAGCAGTGAGCGGCCTGGGTGCTGGTCCCCAGAAGCACTAAGTCCCCGCCTTCCCTGGACTTGAGCGAGTAGCCCAGGGCTTCTTTCCAAGGCCAGCTGTGCTGAGCAGGGCGGGACGCAGCGAGGGGCCGGAGGCCGCGGGAGGCGGGCAGGGCGCCCGGGCTCTGGCGCGCGCTCCGGGGCTCCCGCCGGCCCTCGCCCGGGTCCCCCCGCGCCTTCAGCACCGCGGCTGGGCTCAGCACCTGTGTCCGGACACCCGAAACGGGCCTCGGGGTGTGTGACGCACTCCTTGACAAATCGTGTCTTTCCTTTCTATGTTTTTCAGCAAATTCACAGGCAATTTCTTTTACAACTACATGATGGGCATTGAGTTTAACCCCCGAATTGGGAAGTGGTTTGACTTCAAGCTTTTCTTCAACGGACGCCCAGGAATTGTTGCCTGGACCCTCATCAACCTGTCCTTCGCCGCTAAGCAGCGGGAGCTCCACGGCCAGGTGACCAACTCCATGGTGCTGGTCAACGTGCTGCAGGTAGCCTGCGCGGGGCCGCGGGCGCTGGGGGCGCAGGGAGCCGGGGGCCTGAAAGGCCCTCGAAGGAGCCGGGCCTGCCCGTGCGTCTCTGGGGTGCGGGCCGGTGAGCCCGCGGGGGGAGACTCTGTCCCCGCGCGCCCGGTGCCACACTGGCCGTGGGGACTTTCCCCGGGGACGCCTGTCACTGGCTCCAGCATGTGAGGGATGCTGGCATCGCAGTTCCGATGGCCTGTGAGTGGTCCCGGCCACGTGTCACGGTTCGTGGCCTCCGGAGTGATTTCCCACGCGGTTCTCCCGTGCGCTCCCCTCAAGGTGGGGAGTGAGGGGTGCGACCTGCTTTTGTCCCATCTGCAAACGGACCTCGGTCTCCCTGACCCCACGGGGCGCAGCAGTCACCCGGCCACACGGGCCGCGCAGATGCGCGTGTGCGTGTGCGTGTGCGTGCGTGTGTGTGTGTACCCCGGTGCCACAGGGACGGCCGGCGGGGCACACGCTGGGACGCTCGCCCCGGGGTGAGGGGCAGCCGTGCTGTGGTGCTTGGGGACGTCCGCACCCTCCACCCAGAGCCACCTCCACGGCGTCACCTCCCAGGTCACGGCGGGTGCCCGCTTCCCATCGTCATTTCTGGGCCCTGCTTGTCCTCGGACCACAGACCGTCCAGGACAAGGCCTCCCCGCCCACCCCCCATCCCCGTGTCCCAGCCGAGGTGGGACCTGCGGGATCGGCCCGCGGCACAGGCCACCAGGGGTGCTGCGTGACACCTGGTGCCCCCCCACCCCCCGCGCCCAGAGGTCCCGCCCCTGGGTGGCCCACAGCCGCGCTTGCTTCGCAGGCCATCTACGTGCTGGACTTCTTCTGGAACGAGGCCTGGTACCTGAAGACCATCGACATCTGCCACGACCACTTTGGGTGGTACCTGGGCTGGGGGGACTGCGTGTGGCTGCCGTACCTTTACACGCTGCAGGTGAGGAGCGGGGACCAGAACAGGCGTGGTCCTCGGGAGGCAGCGGGGGTCTCGCCTGAGGCGTGGGGACGCTCGCCAGGGAGCCAGAGGTCGCCTGGGATGGCACCTGAGATGTCCATCCCAGGTGTCGGTGGGAAAGGAGGGGGGATGCCGCCTTGGGAGGGGCTCGGGCCGGGAAGCCGGCCTGCAGCGATGGGCAGGGGGCGGGGCTGCCCTGTCCTCCCCCCGCCCCGGGGCCTGCGAGCCGGCTGGGGGACAGGGAGTGGCTTGTCATTGGCCCCCGACGCCCTCCCGGCTCTCATGGGTGTGGGGACCTGGCTCCTGGGTACGGTGGCAGCTCTGAAGGCCTGGCCGCGTGCCACCCCCGTCACCTCCCAGAGCAGGAAAGGGGCCAGGGGCCTGATGTCCTGGGCTCTGGTCCCCGTGCTGGGTCCCCTCGGTGGGTCCTGTGCACTCATTTCTCCGCTAGGCTGCTGGCGGGCACATGGGTTCCCCGATTCTGCGAGCTCTGTTTTCCAGGCTTGCAAAACAGAATTGGGGGGGGGGTGTGGTGTGTGTGTTTGTGTGTGTACAAGAGAGGAAATGTAGCACGTGTGTGTATGCGTGTGTGTGCACAGCTGTGGTCCTGGCGTGTCCAAAACTCTCCGGGCAGCCAGCAGGCGGGAGGTCCGGGGAGGAGCCGCTGCTGCTCCTGGTCCGAAGGCCAAGGCCGCCTGCTGGGGGAATGCCCCCTTGTCCCTGGGCTCTCGGTCTTTTCCTCTGACGCCTTCCGCTGAGTGGATGAGGCCCCCCATGGCAGAGGGTGACCTGCTTTGGCCCAGGTCCCCTGATGTGAAATGTCAGTGACGTCGTCCAGCACCTTTGTGACGAGATTAGTGTTTGACCAAGTATCTGGGTGCCGTGGCCTAGGCAGGAAGACCTAAAATTAACCAGTACAGGGTTATATTCAAGTGGTATTTTTATGTTGCCTGTTTGATATTTCCATTATAAATGGCATATGCTTGCATACGTAGTGTATATGCGTGAACTTGCACGCCCAGAGGTGGCTAGGGAGGAAGACAGCGGACCGACTGGGCTATGGGCTCGTCTGCTTCCAGCACCGGCCCCGGGCGACGGGTGCTCTCTTTGCAGCCGAGGAAGCCCAGGCCCAGCGCAGGCGGGCGGGCCGCCAGGGGCCGAGCCCCCGCCCAGGCCGCGCTGACCCCTGCCCTGTCGCCGGCAGGGCCTGTACCTGGTCTACCACCCTGTGCAGCTGCCCGCCCCCCACGCCGCGGGTGTCCTGCTGCTGGGCCTGCTGGGCTACTGCGTCTTCCGGATGGCCAACCACCAGAAGGACCTGTTCCGGCGCACGGATGGGCGCTGCCTCATCTGGGGCAGGAAGCCCAAGGTCATCGAGTGCTCGTACACGTCGGCCGACGGGCAGCGGCACCACAGCAAGCTGCTGGTGTCGGGCTTCTGGGGCCTGGCGCGCCACCTCAACTACACGGGCGACCTGCTGGGCAGCCTGGCCTACTGCCTGGCCTGCGGCGGGGGCCACCTGCTGCCGTACTTCTACATCATCTACATGACCATCCTGCTGACCCACCGCTGCCTGCGGGACGAGCACCGCTGTGCCAACAAGTACGGCAGCGACTGGGCGCGCTACACCGCCGCCGTGCCCTACCGCCTGCTGCCCGGAATCTTCTAGGCGTCTGCCCATCCCGGGGAGGACCCGGGCCCCGCCCTCATGCCCGGGCTGGAGCCGCTCAGTGGGGCTGATGCCCCCGCTCCACCCTCTGGAAGCCTCCGTCTCCTCTGCAAACTGGGAAGCGCCCGGCCCGAGGCAGGCACCTTGAAACAATGTGTCTCTTCCCCACATCCCCGGGGGCTGTAAGGGGCACAGCAGCCACCTCCTCACCAGCAGGAACGGCCGGTTTTCGGTGTCCGAGGACAGGAGGATGGCTTGGTCCCCTCCGCCAGCTGGGCAGCGGCAGGGTCTTTCCCCGGTGTGGGTGACACTGAGTGGGAGGCCTCCCAGCTCCTGGGTTGGGAGCGCACGTCCTCCTGCTGGTTGAAGCGGAAGTGGCGGGGCGGGGCGCGTCCAGCCGCAGGTCACTGGCCTTCTGCCCCACGGCTGCGCTGGTCACCTGCTCTTGACCGTGGGCTGCTCCGCCAGCGTCTCTGTGCGGCAAACATGATGTTGATCTTGGTGGAGAGGGCCTTCTTCTGGGCCAGGTACACCCTTTGTTTCCTTGTGGCTCACGGGCGCTGTGTGGGGACTGGCCTGAGGCCCCGGAGCCCCGCCCCCTCTGGCGCCCGGCTGCCCACCAGCACGTGCTCTGGAAGGGCGTTTCCTGCTGGCCGAGCGACTACTCGGCTCTGCCACCGTCCGGGGGCCTGCTGTGCCTTCTCCAGCGACGTCTGCACCCCGGCCTTGGGGAGGGGGCGTTGCTCCGAGCCTTGGGCCGCTCCCTCGACCCTCAGTTCTCAAAACTCCCTGTTCACGTCACTGCCCTAGGAGAGGACGATTCTTTTTATTAAACTTTCCAGTTCAAATTTCTGAGTGGTTTCTGCCTCTGCTAGGGCTCGGCTTCCGCTACGTAGGGGGGTGCCTGGGAACCCTGGACCAGGGGCTTGGGCGCTGCCTCCTCCACTCGGCATCCAGGGGAGGGGTGCAAGGCCCGTCCCCGGGGGGCGGCCCCTCTGTCGCAGCCGTTCTTGTGCTGGACGTGGGCATCCGTTCCATTTGCCCCTGGGAGAAACCCTGGCTTGGCCTCCTGTCCCCCCAGACACGTGCAGGGAGACACCAGGAGGTGGTGCAGACATGCATCACACATGGAGCAACTGAAGCCCATGCCTGGGACAGGGAGGGGACAGGCAGGGTGGTGCCTCTGTTCTTCAAGTCACAGTAGGCCAGCAAAGACAGGTGGCCTCCGGAAGAGCCTGCAGGGATCAGGGATCAGGGCGGCTCGCGCGCGGGAGAGGTCTCGCCCAGACCTCGGCCTGCCTGTCACTGAAAAGGCTGGTGAGTGTGCGCACCTCCATCCCCGGCGCAGCCCGCGCCCATCTCCCTCGCTCGCCCGCCTGCTGTGCGCGCTGCGTGGGTAAGGCCAGCTCCCCCTCGGGCCAGGGCAGGGCGGCCGCCCCTCGCCACTAACGAAGGACACACTGTCCTCGGTGAAGCCACAGCCCCTGGAGCCCCGGGAGGACAGCCTGGCCTCCGCATCCTGCCCCGGGGAAGGGCTGCAGGACTGCCCCCAGGGCCTGTACCGAAGAGACGCGAGGCCCTGGGCGGGGGTGGGTGGAGGTGGTGCAGGGCCCTGTCCCCTCAGCCCATGAGGTGTGGACACCCCCCAGGGCAGGGCTGGTGCGGGAACCACGCGGGTACATTCCCAGGGCCCGCCGCCCGGGGGTCAGCGCTCCCGCCTCCTGCGTGTGATTCCCAGGCCCCGGCTCCCAGGCCCCTCCCTGTGGGAGCTTCGTAGGCTGGGCGTTGCTCTGGGCTGTGGGAGACTGGCTTTTCCAGGCGTGGAGCCGGCTGGGCGAACTTGGACAAGCCCCGCGACTCTGCCTGTCTTGGCCGCGGCCCTGAGCGAGCCGCCATGCGCTCCCAGCTCCGGGGGGTGGAAGGCACGCGTTCCCCGCCCTCCCCAGCCCAAGGGGCTTCAGCTTCGGCTCCTTGCGGTGCCTGCGGGTGGTGCGGTCAGCCAGCAGGATCCGGGAGACCGGGAGTCGGAAGTGGGTGGAGGGGCTGGGGAGCAGGAGAGACCCCGCCCTTCCCGCCCCAGCAGTTTAACTGCTACCTGGCAGCTGCTACATGGCAGGATGTTGTATCCAACGAGAAATGTCACCACCCACCATGCGGCTCCCCGCCTGGCAGGCAGTGAGGCCGATTGCTGGGCGCTTCGCACGCCGGTCCTGCCAGCCTCTGCGGGGAGCTCTGCGGGGAGGGTGGGCCGCTAGCCGTCAGCAGGGGGACTGGGAGGGGCTTCTTGCGCCCGGCAGCGGCTCTGCCTGTCCCGGAGCTCTGAGAGGTGAAGGGAAGCGAGGAGAGATGGATTCTGATTGCGTCGAACTGGAAACTGGGCAGTGTGTCCGAGACACGGTTTTCAGACAGTGCGCAGGAGCAGGGGACGGGGCCCCCGAGACGAGGGAACCGGGGAAGCCGCCGGCGGGGTGCGGGGTCCCAGCCCACTGCCAGCAGTTCTGGAAACCTGGATGAAATGAGAACCAACCCTCCTTTTTGAGAAACGGACTTTGCCAAAATGGACTGAAGAAGAAACCGAAATTTTGAATAGCTCTCTTATCAGGTAAAGAAATGAAGTTCTTGGTCTTAAAATATTCTGACAAAGAGAACGCCAGACCCAGATGCATTGGCCGGTGGATTCCATCGAAGTTTTTAATGAAATAATGTCCGTGTTGCCACACACGTTTTCTCATACCCCGGAGAGCGAGGCGGCGCCTCACGATTCATTTTAGGAGGCCAGCGTAGCCCGTGGAAGAAAACTTGGCCAGGGCATGATATAAAAAAGAAAGTTAGACTCCAGCATCTGCCACAAGATATCCTCAAGGACGCTATTAGCACGTTGAGCCCCCAAATATCTCCAAAGTCCAATGCACCACCGTAAAGCGGGCCTTATCCTGGGGTTACAGACTCATTTTGACACTGAAAAACCAATCAGCGTAACTCACCACGTTCACAGAACAGAGAAGAACACCGGCCCTTGGCAGGTGGCCTGGTAGGAGCATCTTCCCGTGGGCACGACTCCCAGGCAGGGCACGTGCCTGGGCTGGGGGTTTGACCCCTGGTCAGGGATGGGCAGGGGGCACGGGATCGACTTCTCTCTCTCAGGAAAGGTGGGGTGAGGTTAAAAAAGGTGAGGGTTAAAAATGAGAAGAAAAACCATTCGCTCCAAAAGGAGAAACAGGTTGCACAGAATGAGGCGCTAGTCCATGATAAAAACTCAGCAAACTGGGACTAAAACAGAGCGTTCTGTGCCTGATAAAATATTGCCACACGACCTGCAGCCGGCACCGTGTTTAACGGCGAGACCCTGACTTCGACATCTCCCTGTAAGAGGAAGGACGAGAGTGGCCTCACTCACATCTTGTTCTGATCATTGTATGGGAGACCTGAGCGATGAGAAGGGGCAAGAAAATTCAATAGAAAGGCACAGGTTGGGAAAAATCGAGTAAATTAGTTCACAAGGTGGCTGCGCTGAAAGAGCTAACTCGGCAGCCTGGCCTCTTCCGGAAGGGCCCGTCCGCGGGGAGGCCCCGAGTGGCCTCTGGGGACTTGGATTTGGGCGGGGTGCCCGGCCCCCGGTGACGGCTCAGCCTTTGCAGTGCCTGAGCAGTGTCATCGCACAAGTGATACGGCCCCTCTGAGACACCTGCCTTCTTTCCGCGTCCGGACTCGGGTACATTTGGAACAGGGGCTGCGAATGTGACCGGCCTTCGACAAAGCCCTGGGCACCGAGTCTCTGAGGAGCCTCCCGGGGCGCCCCCCGCCCCGCGCAGAGTGGTCAGGAGGCTGCAGCCCCCACCCCCGGGCCTGCACCAGGAGGGGCCCCCCCACGCCCGCTCCCTCGGCCGATCGCCATTCATCCCTCGTACTGCAATGTGCTGCTCCGCTAGGTCCTCCCAGCGAGTCGCGGAGCCCGAGGGTGGCCTTGGGGACCCCCCGGCACAACAGTGTGTGTAGGAAACCCAAAGGTGTCTATAAAACATGTTAAGGGAGTTTATTAAGATTGCGGGATACAAGGTCAATGTGCAAAAACCTCTTTCATTCCTATGCTAGCGCACACACACGAAATTAATTGGAGAAATAAAGATTTTGGGGGGAAACCATTTACTAAAGCATCCGAAACCAAGAAACACTTAGAACAAAATTTAATTTCAAAAAGCGGAAGATGCGTTGTGCCCTGAAAACTGCAAAGTGGCGGAGAGAACGTAAAGGAAGCCTCGTGGGGATGGGACGTTCGGCGCTGCCGCGCTGAAGACGGGACCCGAAGACAAGGAGCCTCGCAAGTCGCAGGGGGAAGAGGGCTGTGAAGGGGCAAAGTTTTAGGGAAACATAGAGACAGGCTTTGGGGTTAGATGGGTGCCCACGGGAGAAAGATAAACTCCCATCAGAGAAGAAGCGGAGCTGGATCACTGACCCAAACGTAAAAGGGAAACCAAGGAAATCTTAAAAAGCGCGAGGCTGACCCTGGTTAGGCAAAGGTCTCTTTCCAGGACGCCGGGAGCACTAACCGCTGAAGAAGAAACCGGATTCCCATGAAACTGGGAACAAGGTCTTGGGAATAGAAACCGGGGAGAGAGTGCAGGGTGAGCGGCGCAGGTGCAAGGGTATGTGCAATGACGCTTTTGGCCACCAGAGGGAGCTCGTGGACAGAATCGGTGAGGGACATAGGAAGAGAATGACATACAAGTGACCCCCCCCCTTTTTTTTGGTAACTTTCAAATTGATTTTTGGGGGCGGGGAGGAGGAGAGAGAGAAGCATTGATTTGCTGTCACACTGACTTACACCTTCATTGGTTGATTCTCGTATATGCCCTGACCAGGGGGATTAAACCCCCCACGGTGGCATATTGGGGTGACGCTCTAAGCAACTGAGCCAGCAGGCCAGCGCCGTGCCAGCGACTTTTAACAATGAGAGCGACTTGAACACAGTGACCGATAGGCAGGAAGACACGCCAGCACCATCTGTCATCAGGAAAATGCAGGGAAGACAGGGTGGTCACCCCCGGGGCGGGGCCATGCGAGGGGACAGCCCCGCCTTCTGGGGACTGGGAGCGGCCCGTGTCCTGGTGCTGTCACGCGGTGCGGGCAGATGAGACGAGGGCCCCCACTGTCCCCTGAGGCGCAGGCGCTGTTACCTGCACCTAGCCGGGTGAAGAGGGGCCGGAGCGCGCCAGCTGTCCCCTCCAAAGGCTTCGGAGCCGGCGGGGGGCCTCGCCGGGGCTGGGGTCCCTGCCGTCCTGGGCAGGACTCACCCCTGGAGGGTCACACGCTCCCAACCAAGGGGCGTGTCCAGAAAAGGGGGAAAGGCAAACCTAACACCTCGCAGGGGGCGGGGGGCCATGTCAGGCTGGGGCTGACCCTCACCGAGGTCACCACTGTTACAACACAGTGCAATTGTTGTGCGGGCAGCTGGCCCTAGCCACCAGGAAACGCTCCACGCCCACGCCCAGTCTGGCTGAAGGAGGCAGAGAGGCTGCGGCTCCGCGGAGGTGCGTGCGTGGGCGCGGGCGGCGTTCTGCGGGGCTCAGGCCACGGGGACCCGGGTGTGGGGAGCTCCGCCGCCCGGCGGGGGGCTGGCAGGCGCCTGGCGGCCACCTTCACGCAGTTCTTTGCTCCGGCAGCTCAGCTTTGGCCTGGATGTTTTCACTGTTTCATTAAACTCTTTTGGAATATTCTTTTTTTAGTAGGAACAGAAAATGTCACTGAGCAAGACCAACTATTGCTGAATAACCAGAAATGCCCCTGAGAGTCAGACCCCAGGGGCCGCCACGCCTCCTCCCAGGAGCGCCTGGTGAGAGGGAGGGGCCGGGCGCGCCGGGAGCAGGGGCGCCTCGGGGCTCCTTTGCGTGAATGTTAGCGGTGCTGTGTTTTCCCTTGACCCTTCTCACCCTCTTCCTCTAGCTAGTAAAGAATACTTCTTTTGCCCTGGCCAGTTTGGCTCCGTGAGTTGGAGCATCATCCCATAACCAAACTATTGTAGGTTTGATCCTAGTCAGGGCGCACGCCTGGGTCGTGAGTTCAATCCCTGGTCAGGGCACGTACGGGAAGCAACTGGTCAGTGTTTCTCTCCACATCGAAGTTTCTCTGTTTCTCTCTCTCTCTCTCTCATCAATAAACATCCTCAGGTGACAATTAAAAAAAGAAAGAAGAAAGTGTTAGGGGCGCTCCCCACAGCCCTCCTTTTCTAGGGCCACCCCGTGTCAGGGGTCACCCAAAAGCCCCCCGTTTCCAGCCAGCTGCCCGTGCCATCCGGACAAGGCCTTGCCCACCCGCAGGGCCCTCGGTGTGGGAAGCCACCGCGGGCCACGCGAGGGACACTTGCGTCCTGTGAGCTCTGAGCGCAAGGCCACGCCTGGCAGAGCTTGTCCCAGGTCGAGCGCCTTGCAAACGGCACAAGTAGCCGCCCTGTCTCCCCACAGCCCCATCCTGGTCACACACAGCGCCATGAACGTGCCCCTTGTCTGCGACTACGGCTCTGGCTTCAGCAAGGTGGGCTTCGCGGGGACGGAGGCACCCCTGGCTGTGTTCCCGACGATCCTTGGGAAGCTTCGGCACGACGTGAGTGACGCGGTGTCCTCCCCGGGGTCCCGCTCATCCTGGAGGGGGCCCCTGGGCCGACAGCCCCCTCCCCATCCAGGGGCTGGTCCAGCCACACCCTCGGAGCGGGCAAGGGGCCCAGGGCAGCAGCATCAGGGCCGCGGGCACTCAGCCGGGTGAACGCCGAGTGCTGCCCGTCCCTCGGCCTCTGCCTCAGCAGGTCTGGGGGCCAGGGCTTTGCGTCCCTAATCTGACGCCCCAGGGCCGGGGCCGGTTTGTGAGAACCACAGACTTAGACGCAGCCGGCGATGATAGGAGCTAGACAAGCAGACAGCTGCGTGGCAAGAACCACGCCACCCGTCCGGGTACATTTTGCCCCTCTCCCTTACGAGAGTGATGTGGGCACCGAGAGGCAGCTGTACCTTTAAGATACATAGTGGCCCACCAGCGCCTGGTGGCAGCTGACACTCAGCCTCCGGGACAGGCCAGAAGGGCAGGGTCCGAGTGGTGCTCTGTCTAGAGGGCACTCTGTCCTGCCTTTTCACCAACCTGCGAGAATGGGGTGGGGCCACTCCACACCCCATTCTGCCCGAGGAACGGTATGGGCGTCATTGTCCCATGAGAGCGGCACCGGGCACCAGGGCGGGGTTCCCAGAGGGCCAGCCGCTGCCCGGGGCTCGCTGTCGGGGACCTCACCCCCCGCCCACAGCTCTCCGATCCCCGAGACATAAAGGCCCCGCGCCCACCGCCGTGGCGGCCCCCAGAGCGGCCCCTCTGGGCAGTGCCCGGCACCGTCCTGGCGTGACACCTCGCGGCCTTGCACACGCGGCCCCGGGGCACCGCAGCGGCGCGCACCGTGACGCCGATGCCGGTGACTGAGCACGGCCGGGAGGGAGGCCCAGACAGACTCCCCCGAGTCACGGGCCTGCTCTGGCCGTGACTTTGGCTCCGGGCTGCCGACGGCCTCGCCCCGCTGTCCTCCGGTGGAAGGCCCCCCGGGCCCCCTCCCCGGGCACCCAGGTGCACCCCGGGGCCGCGGCCATGCCCGCGGCCCTGTCTTGGTGCCTGCCTGTAGGTGGACCCAGGTGGACCCTGGGACCACCAGCCGGCGGGTCCCCTCTGAGTGAGGGGACGAACGGTCGGTCTGAGAGTAGCCAGGTCCCTCTTCCTGAAGGTGGCCGAGATTAAACGGCAGGCCCCCCCGCCAACGCCCCAAGGCCAATGTGGGAGCCGGGGCCTCCCTGCCCTGTCCCTCCGCCCCCGCCCGCCCCGTGGTTGCCCGTGTCCTAGTCCCACAGCGGGCCACCCAAGTTTCGCAGCAGCGGTCCCTGCCAACCCCGTGTCCCTTGCAGGGCATTTGCTGAAACATCTCAGGGCGTTTTGAAATAGTGCCCGGCCAGAGAGGGCCGCAGAGGCCAGCGCTGGGACCCGACCCGTCGCTGCAGCGGGTGGTGGCCTCAGGCACGGCCGTGGGGCCGCCCTTGAGAGCGGACCTGTCCTGCCTGCGTGTTCCAGGATCCGCTGGTGGGACTGGACGAGGAAGACTGGTTCATGGGGGACGAGGCTCAGAGCCGGCGCGAGAAGCTCAACCTGCTGCGCCCCATCTCGCGGGCCACCGTCCCCAACTGGGACAACATGGAAAAGGCAGGCTGCCACGTGCACGGGGGTGGGGCCGGTCACAGGGCCCCTGCCGCCTGCGCACCGGGAAGGGACGTCCGTCTCGCCGGCACCCGGGGCTCCCGTGGGGGCGTATCTCTCCGTCCCGGCTGCCACCTTGACCCTGGGCTTCCAGCCTCCACGACCGGGGACGTTAACATGTGTGGTTTCAGCCACCGGCTCTGGGACTTGGTCCTGTGGCCCCGGGAAACGCGTCCTCTGGGCTTCCTACAAACATCACCTTACCCAGTCCCCTTCATCTAGGAGGTGGGGACTGCTGTCCACTTTACAGCCAAGGCTCGGGGCTCACAAAGGCGGGCGGGGGCCAGGGCCGGGGCCTCGGCCGGGTTGGCACCCTGTGCCCTCAGGGCGCCCGCTCCCCTCACTGAGTCAGGGGCTCGCCAGTCATCTTGGGGCTGGGATCTGTCCCCTGGGAGACCACGAGGCCCTTTGACCGCACGTCCTGCCGAGGCCACGCCTGTGGACGGAGGCCATGACGTCTGCAAAGCCACTCTGTCTTCCCTGCTTACTCACGTGGCACACGCCCCTGAGGAAGCTGTTCGCGGTGTGGACAGTCTGCCCTCGGACGCGCCCCGCGGTGCCCCGCCGCCCCTCACCCGTCCCCACCCCCGCCCCCAGATCTGGCACCACTCCTTCTACCAGGTGCTCCGCGCCGCCCCCGAGCAGCACCCCCTGATGCTCACAGAACCGCCCTTGAACGCCATGTCCAGCAAAGAGAAAATGTTGGAGGTGAGTGGCCAGGCAGCGGGCAGGGGCGGGGCGGGCCTCCCTTGGGGGGTCGTCCTCTGTTTGCTCAGCCAACAAGACCCCAGCAAGAGGGGTCCCCTTCAGCGGTTCGTCAAGAAGGACGGCGCCCACGGGCAGCTCGCCGGTCGGCTGGCCGGTCGGCAGGGGCCCAGGGCGACTGCGCATTATCCGTGGCCCCGCTCTCAGCTCTGTTGCCGAGGGTCCCGCCCGGTGTCTGGCCCTGACTGAAGAGCCCCGGAGCCCCTCCCTCTCGGGGCCCCCCCGCCCCGGGGCTGCCCCCGGAAGGAAGGGGTGGGTGGCGTGTGCTGATCCGATTGGACCAGAGGGAACCAGAGGCCGGAGCCCGTGAGGGTGCAGCTGGTGGGGGCGCGGCTCCTGCGGACAGGCGCATGTGGGGCGGGGCTGTGGGGCCGCCGAGTCCCAGTGACGGCCTCGGGCTTCTCCCAGTGAGGGCTTCGGGGAGCGGATTAAGCAAACAGCAAGGGCCCGCCCCCCGGCCCAGAGCCCTGGAGCCCAGCGGTGTCCCCCTCAGTGAGCAGCGACCCTGCCGGCAGCCCCAGCGGCCCACGGTGCCACATGCACACTTAGGAGCCTCGTGATGTGACCCGGAAACACGCTATTAATCAGAGCCCAGGTGTAGGCTGCCGCCTCATTAAACCAAGGCCCTGAGGGGCGGGTGGAGCCCCCCTCCCCACCACGTGGACAGGTAGTCGGAGAGGCGGCCGCAGCGGGGCTCCACGCGGACCCGGCCCGTGGCCCACGGCCTGGAAACAGCGGGTGCCGCTCGGAGAGCGCCCAGGGCCTGCCGGGGCCGCTGCGAGCCGGACAGAGGGCGGGGACGGAGGGGACGTGCTGCCACCAAACTGTCTCAGTCCGGCAGCAGATGCCTAGGCGGGAAGGGACTCGTTCCAAGGGGTTGGCTCACGTGAGCGTGGAGGTTGGCGCGCCCCAGGGTGAGGAGGCCGGCCGGCGCCCCGGGGGACCGAGGGCGAAGGTCCAACCCAGAGGCAGGGAGGAGCGGTGTCCCGGGTCAGAAAGGAACGTCCTCTCACTTGGGGGGAGGTTAGACCCGCTCTGCCGACTAGAGGAGGCCACCCGCACGGTTGGGGGGAGGGGCAGCTGCTTTACTCAGTGTCGCCTTAAATGGGGCCCTGGCCCAGAAACACCCTCGCAGACTCGCCCAGGAGGAGGATGGTCCAAATGTCTGGCGCCCCACCCTCACGGCCCAGCCTCGTTGCCACGTGAAATTCACTGTCACACAAACCGTGCCTCCGGCCGCAGGGCCCGTCCCGCACGTCCCGCCGCAGCCTCTCTGGTTCGGAGCTGCACGCGGCACAGCCGGCTCTCACCTCTCCTGGTGACCGTGTGGGGCTCTGCCTTCCAAAGAACCTTTGGCCGTGGGGGCCGCAGGGTCCCCACCGTGCGGGGGGCTCGTCCCCCCCGCCACCTTCGCCCAGCCAGAGCTCTGCCGTACCCCGCGGCCCGTGGGCGCACCCCTCCCCGGCCATCTGCTCCCTCACCTTCCCATCCCCCAGTCTCTCGTGTGGATAGGGTGGGGGGGGGCGTCCATTGTCACATACCCGAGGGCACCCACCGGGGGCAGAAAGAGCAAGGCTGTGTCTCCCCTGTCGCTCCCCCGCCCTGTGTGTGGCCGGCACCCAGGAGGTTCGTCTTGACCCCGCCACGCCGGGACCAGGCGGCCGGCAGTTAACCGGCGGCTGCCAGCTTCTGTGGCCTCTGTTGCCACGGAACAAGCAAGGCACCCCCGGTCCCAGCGTTGGCATTTCGGTAAAGTCCGCCCCCGCCCGGGAGCAGAGAGAGCAGGGGCTGCACAGAGGCCCAGGCGGGACGGCATCGTCCCCCCCTGGTCCCCGCGATGCTCTCCTGGTGTCCCGTAAGGTACCCGGGAGGGTGTGAGCCCACTTCCCAGGCTGGGCAGCGGCGCCCCGAGCTGGGATGGCGTGTCCGGCCCCCCGGCCCCGCCGCCCGCGCCTCTCGGGGGCCAGGCGCCTCCTCTGAGGAAGGCCCGCCTGCCCGCTGGCCTGGCTGCCACTGCGTCCCGTGCTGCTCCGCAGATCCTGTTTGAGACCTTCAACGTGCCCGCCCTGTATTTAGCCAACCAAGGGGTCCTTTCTCTCTACGCCTCCGGCCTGACCTCGGGTGAGTAGCCCCACAGGAGCCCTGACCCCGGGAGCCCCCCCCGCCCCTCCCTCCCTGCAGCTGTGAAAGGAAAGAACAATCCACAGAACGAGCGCCTGCCAGCCCTTTCCCAGCCCCGCCCCCGGGCAGACGGCTCCCTCCCACTGCTCTCGGGTGTCTTCCTTGACAGCCCGATGGAGGGGTGATGGACGCACAGCCAGGAGCCCGGGATTACGATGTGCGGTCTGCTAAGCTTTGCGGCAGGGACTCACTCATGGCGCCATCAGTGCAGTCAAAACAAGGACCATACCCGTCTCCTCTGCACGTTTCTCTGCCACCCCCACGCTGCCCCCGTCCAGCCTGTTCCCAACCAGCAGTCCCTCTGTCCCCAGCCAACAGTCCAAACCAATAGAAGAGTCTGCTTTTTCTGGAACTTTGTATAAATGCGATCACTCAGTATGTATGCATTTTATATGGCTTTTTCCCCTCTGCATAACCGTTTGGGGATTCTTTCATGTCGTTGTTTGTATCAATAGTTCGTTTCTTCCCATTGCCGGGTTCTATTTGACTGCGTGACGTGTCATACTTTGTTCCTCTACGGGGCTATGAATGGACTTTGGGTTGCTTCTTGCTCGGGGCTGTTATAAATCAAGCTGGGCAAACATTTGCGCAGAAGACTTTGCATGGACAGGTGCTTTCACTTCATTTGGGTAAGTTCCCAGACGTGAGGCGTGGGGCAGGTGTACGCTTAACTTTTTAAATAACCTGCCAAGCTCATTGCCAAAGAGGTTGCCTGAGCCGCCTTGCATCCCTCCAGCCCTGCGTGAGCGCCCCGGTTCCTCCTCATCCTCGTCAACGCTTGGAATGGTACGCCTTTGAATTTTAGCCACTCTGATGGGTGTGCAGTGGTATCACATTGTGGTTTGGTTTGTGTCTCCCTCACAACCAGTGATGTTGAGCATGTTTTCAAGTGTCTGTTTATCATCCATGTATCTACCCCAGTCAAGTGTCTGTTTATGTGTTTTGCCCAGTTTTTCACTGAGTTGTTCATCTTTGAGGTTTGAGGATTCTTTCAGCATCCTGGGTACATCTTTTGTCAGATGTGTTTGCAGATGTTTGCTTCGATTCTATGGCTTGACTTTCTTCTCTCACCGTGTCTTTGACAAGCAGAAGTTTTTTATTTTAATGAGTTCCAACTTATCAATTTGGTTTTTCGTGGATCATGTTTCGGTGTCATCGTTAAGAAATCCATGCTGAATCCAGAGATCTTCTGTCATGTTTTCACCTAAAAGTTTTATCATTTTTAGTTTTACATTGAGCGCTATGACCCATTTTGAATACGCTTTCATACAGTATAAGGTACAAGTGAAGTTTTTTTTTTTTTGTATAAATGCTCACTTGTTCCCATGTTATTGGTTGGAAACACTCTACCTTCTTCCTGGAATTGGCTTTGCCTGGTTTTTGGAAAGTCATTTGTCTGTGTGTGTGATATGTTGGTATATTTCTGTCCTGCCTCTTCTGTCCCTTCAATTTATTTGTAAGTTAACAGTACACATTCTCTTGATTACTGTAGCCTTATGAGTCTTGGAACAAGATAATGTTAGTGTAGCACCTTTAGTTTCTTCTTTTTGATAATGTTTTGGCCATTCTAAGTTCTTTACATTTCCATTTTAGACTCAGTTTGTCAATTTCTAACCCAAGAGCTCCTTTGGGTCTTGATTGGAATTGCATTGAATCTACAGATGAATTTGGGAAGAACTTACATCTTAGCAAGTCTGGGTCTTCCCACCGATGGATATGGCGGGTACCTCCCAGGAGTAAGTGGTATCTTTATTTCAATTTCAGGTTGTTCATCGCTAGTTCATAGAAACACAATTGATTTTTATATATTGATACTATATCTGGTTCCCTAACTAAACTCCTGTATTGTGCCGGTGGCTTTTTTTGTAGATTTAATAGGATTTTTTTACATAAGTAATCATGGCGTCTATAGGTAGTTTTAATTCTTTATTTCCAAACGGATGCTTCTCATTGTCTTTTCCTGCCTGATTGTCTGGCTAGAGACCCTCCAGCGCAATGCTTGTCTTGTTCCTAATCTTAGGGGGAATCATTGTCTCGCCAGTGAGCTCAATGTCGGCCGTAGGTCTTTATTAGACAGCCTTCCTCAAGGGAGGGGGCTCTCCAGGAGGATGGTGAGTTGTTCTGTTTTTGTTTTTTTTAATGAATGGATGTTGAATTTCATCAAATGTATTTCCTGCACCTATGGATGTAATGTTATGGATTTTCTCCTTTAGTTCTTTCATATGGTGAATGACATGGATTGATTTTTGATATATTGATGGATTCAATTTGCTAAAATTGCGCTCAGGAGCGTAGGGAGCACGTGCGTGAGGAGGGTGGCCTGCCGCCGTCTGTCGCGCAATGTCCTGCCTCTCGGGGGCCGTTGTCCTTCGTCGCCGGGTGTCTAGTATCTTGAAACTTGTTTCTGGTATTGTGTCCTCTCTTTTAGGTGCTTCCGGTAGAAGGGGTGGGAACCCACTCTTTGTCCCCATTGTAGCTAGACGTGCTCATCTTGACTCACTTTTCTCCCTTTAAACGTGAAGTTTTTGAGAACCAGGCTCCATAGGTGAAAGGAGCCAACCACCCAGACCCTCATCAGCTGTGGACGGTTCCAGAAGAAGCCGTTTCACACAAAATGAGGCCCTGAGTCCCTGCCACCACGTCATGCCCTCTCTGACTAGCACAGAGAGCGCCCGGGTCCCAGCTAACAGAGAACCGTGCCTCCTGCACGGCGCTCAGACTCCCCCGGCATTCCGGCGCCTTCCAGACTGTGCTTTAGGGAAGAAGGTGCTACGAACTCCTTCTTCTCCTTCCTCTTTGGCATCTGCTGCTAATACATGTACGTCTGGTTTAGCAGGGACATCTGTAGACTGCTGTCCAAAATAGGCAGCCCTGCGTCTGCGGAGGCGCGCCCTCCGAGCAACGCGCTGCGGCGGGGAGAGCGTGTCCCTCAGGCCCGTGGCGTCCCCGCCGCTTGTGCGCCCCCGCGGCCTTGCCAGGCCAGCCTGACGGTGGGCGAGGGCGGCCGCGCCCTGCATGTCACGATGCCAGTGCGCTGTCCTGCCTAGGAACGGCCATCGAGTCTGGAGAAGGAGTGACGTACTTCGTGCCCATCACCAATGGCTGCCCCCTGCGCCAGTCGACCGGGAAGATGGACGTGGCGGGCCAAGACATAACCCTGTACCTCCTGCAGCTGCTGTCAGCGAAGGGGGCCTCGCTGGTGGGCACAGGTGGGGCGCTGCTGTTGCTGGCCCGACAAGCCAGTCCCTGGGGTAGCGTTTTTGGCGTGTTCAACCTACAGCCCTCAGTGTAAAGCCAAGGCTACTGGGCCGTCATCCACGTTCTAGACACAGCCCGGCCACGTCTGCAGACGTTCAGTTGATTGATGGTGGCAGTGAGCATGACGGTGGTGGTGGTGACAATGGGGGTGAAGGAGATGGTGACCGTGACGACGGTGGGGGTGAAGGTGTCGGTGGCGAGGATGGCGACGGTGGCGATGATGGTGGTGATGACAATAACGGTGACGCTGGAGGTGATGACGGGGATGAAATGGTGACCTTCACGATGAGCTCCACAGGGTGCGTCCTGTGCGAGGCGCTGAGCTCGGTCAGGCTCCCGGGCCGCCCTGCGTCGCTCCCTGCCACGGCCCCGCGATGGAGAGCGAGGACTCCACTGCAAGGGGAAGGGGCTCAGGAGGCCTAGGTGATTTCCACGTCCCTCCTCTAGTAGGTGTAGCAGCTGGGTGTGAACCAGGGACTGCGGGTGCGGAAGCGCCCATCCCCCTGTCCGCCCGGTCCCCGGATTGGACACCACCCCTCAACAAGCCTACCCGCATTCGACCCTCTGGTTTTCTAAGGCAAGAGGCCTGTGCCCAAGCCAAGCCAAGCCAAGGGCGGAGCCCTAAGAATCGCCGGCATCCGAGCAGAAGCGCGGAGGGCGAGAAGGCCCGGCTGGGACAGTGCCAGCTGCTGTCTGTGTGGGCGTGGTCTCACCTCGCCCTCATACCAGTGCTGCGTGGCGATTGATCCCATCTCTGCGGATGAGGAAAAGGAAGGTTTTTTAAGTGGAAAACGAACTTGCATAACACCAGGCACCTGGTAAATGGCAGAGGTGGGATTTGACCATACATTTGTCTCACCAAAACCCAAACTACGCAAGGAAGGGGTACATGCCAGGGGTGTGCAGCGTCCCAGAGGCCACGGCACGGCAAAGCCTCAGCTGTTGGAGGGAAGGAGCCCAGAGAGAACCGAAGGGCGCGCAGGTTGGGAAGGAGGAAGACCGGGCGAGACCAGGGGAGGGGGTGTGGGCGAGGTCGGGGCCAGATGTCGGGGGGCTGAAGCATCCGTTTGCTTCCCGGGTGAGCTGGTGCAGGGGGTGCGCTGGCCCACACTCAAAAGCAGTGATGAGTGAAACCTAGAACCAGGATGCCACAGGCACGGCCGGGTCTAAAACCTGCCGCCAGTTGCCCAGAAAGGTTGACGGAGTGTAACCTTCCAGACATTCCCAGGCCAGGGGGCTCCGCTCGGCCTGGGCGGAGAAGGGGAAGCTGTGAGTGGTTCCTAGGCGGGTTGGGACACCTCTTCAGCAGACGATACAATGAATCTGGGGTCCCAGCCCCCCCAACACACACATAGGGAGGTCCACCCACGACCTACCCATGCGGACATTTTTCAGACGCTTGCATCTCCTTTCAGACGTCTCGGCTCTACCGTCCCTTCCACCAGCCCAGGCCCCAACGCACCTTGCAGGCCAAGAGGTGCTGCGGTATGAGGCGAAAGAGCACACAGCTGCGACTGTGCTGTTTGGTCCCCACCGCGGGGAACTGAGTCTCCGGGAAGATCCTCCCCGGGAGGAAGCGCGTGTGCGTGCCGTCTCACGTCCCTGCCTCTTCCTTGTCCCCAGGCGACCGGGAGTACATCCGGGACCTGAAAGAGAAATGCTGCTATGTGGCTTTGGACTTTGACAAGGAGAAGGCAGAGGCCTCCTCGCCTCCCCACGCACAGAAATACCGGCTGCCCGACGGCCAGGAGGTCGAGCTTGGCTCGGAGAGATTCTTCGGCCCTGAGGTGCTTTTCCAGACAAATCTCATAGGTGAGCCCAAGCGGGGGGCGGCGGGGTGGACACGGAGGTGAGCTCAGACCAGAGAGGGGGACATGGTGTCCGGGAAAAGGCGCTGGGAGCCAGGAGCGGATGCTGCTTTGAGTAGCAAATAATAGCAAGTTAGTGCCCCACTTCAAAAGTTCCTCCGGTGTCAACTGCCACCGATGTGAGCCTGCGTCTTTGCTGGCTCTCGGATGGGGGCCGTAGCCCCGAATCCTCCCCCTGCTCGTATGGGACCCATTTTACAGCCGAGGAACCCCACGGGGAGCGTTAGCTGTGTGTCACATGATGAGGCTGGACGGCCAGCCGATGCTGGTGCCGTTTACACGGCAGCTGCTTGCACCGTGATCTGAAATTAAGACAAACCACAGGCTGGGTGGGAGGGAACTTCGACAGTGTGGCCGATGCGGAGATTTTAGGCCGGCGTCATCTCGGCTAAGCCCCGTGGGCCGGGTGGGCGCGGCACTGCGGTGTCCGCTGCTCAGGCCCCGCGCCTCCCCCCCCCGCCCCCGCCCACCCACCCGGACAGCGAGGGACAGCCTGGGCGCCCACATGGCGGCCTTCCGCAGCATCAGTTCCTGCGACCCCGCCCTCTGGAAGGTTCTCTTTGGCCACGTCCTCCTGTCTGGAGGCACCGGCTCCTGCTGCGGCCTGAGTTCCCGGATGCAGAAGGAACTGTCTGCCCTGGTGTCCCCTCCAGTCATCGTGAAGGTATGTCCTCCCGGCCACCCAGTGCAGCGGAGCCGGCTAGCAGCTGTCAGGACAGCCGACAGCTCACTTCCCGTCCCGGCTGCGCGGTGCCGCGGGCCCCCGGTGGGTCCTCCTCCGGCCCCTCCCCCGGGGCGTGCTGGTCCCCCTGTGCCGGGACCCCCAGCACATCTGTGCCAGCCGACCCGGCCGGGGCCCGCGGGCAGGTCCGGGAGGACCAGCGGGCGGCTCTGACCTTCCGCACGCGCACCGGGCCTTCCCGAGCCTCGGGCGCCGGCGGGGTCAGAGCGCTGCCCCGGGAGGACCGTCGCACTCGGCGGTGTTGCTCAGCGTAGGAGCGGGAGACCCGGGAAGCGGGGGTGTGAGCCTCGACAGCGCGGCCGAGATGCCGAGCACGCCCTCTCGGTGTTCGGTGACTTGGGGGTTCTTTTGTTCCTGCTTATCTACCTTTTAAAAATTTTCCACAGAAGACACATGGCTGACACACAGACGTTCTATGAGTACGAACGTCTCGTGTGTCTTAGCGTGAACCCGAGAAAGCTCCCGGCGGTGGGGGCGGACGGCTACACGCCCCCTGCGGAGGAAACTGTTCGGTGGGGGGAGGACGTTCGCTCAGGACTTAGTGCTGCGTCACCCCGGTTTAGACTTGTATTTTGACTCTGGTTTCTCCCTCTCTCTGCCCTCTGACCCTCCCCCTCCGTCCCCCTCCCCCTCCCCTCCCCCCACCCCCTCCAGGTGTCCACCTGCCCCTTCTCCCTGTACAGCGCCTGGGTGGGCGGCTCCATCCTGGGCTCACTCTCCACCTTTCAGGACATGTGGGTCACCAGTGACGACTACAAGGACGTCGGCTCCTCCGTCATCCATAGGCGGTCCTTCTGATGGGCAGCTCCCGGGACCGGATCGCCTGTGCCGCCCGCGCCGCCCCCGGGCTGAGCCTCGCGGCTGAGCTGGTCAGAGCGCAGACCCGGCTCGGCGTGAGGCTGGCCCTCCCTCCCTGGACTGCAGGAAAGGGGTCAATAAAGGACAGACGCTGTCCGGGCAGGGCTTGCAGGGTCTGGGACGCTCACAGGCCTCGTTCATGCAGGGGAAGCGGGGAGGGAGCCTCTGCCGCGCCGCATGTTGGTCCCGCCGGCTAAACTGCTGCCGTAGCAAACGTCCCCAGGTCTCAGTGCCGCGGGCCAGTCTGTTGGTCCCTTACGCTGCGTGTCCGCGGGAGGCCAGGGGACTCTCTCCTGCGCCGCCCTCACCCCGAATCCGCTGACAGCGGACACCGTCTGAGACCTTGTGTTGCGGGAGCAGCAGGGTGCCCTGCCGGGCCTTTCTCTGGCCACAGATGCCCAGGCCTGGAAGGGACGCACGGCGTGGCAGCTCGCCGTCAAGTGGCCACAACAAGTCACTTGGGGCTAGGAAGTGCCACTGTGGCCTAATGTGATGCCTGCGAGGCTCCGTGGTGGCACGGAGGGGCTGGCTCCATGGGAGCAGGGCCGGGCGCCTGCAGAGCACCCGCCAGCAGGGGGCGTTTCGTCCTTGCACGGAATAGTCCTCATGGCCTGGCTGCAAGCGGGGTTTTGTTAACATTAAAGCCGATGTCACGTTGCAGGAGCTGGAGCAGCAAGATGTTACTGAACTGGATCGAGGCCATCGCAGGGACAGGGAGTTTAAATCGTAGATGACACCACAGGAGTGCCAGGGCGTGAGCACAGAGAGGACACAGGAGGGGCAGTGACGGTGACGGTGGGCGTGCTGTCCCCAGGCTGGAGACGGCCTGCAGCAAGGAAGGCCACTGAGGGCCGGAGGGAGCTGTGGGGGCCCACGGCCACGCCGTCTACTGGAAATTCAGTGTCCAAGGCGAAGGAGAAAGTCTGGAGGCAGTGACAGAAAACAACAGACACGGTGACAAATCCGGGACACCCCGTCCAGTGTGGATTTGGACCCAACAGATAACTTCAGAGCGAGCACGCGCCCACACCGCCCGTGCCGTTGTTTCCTAAGCCCGGCGACTCTCCAGAGAGGGCAGAGGCGCCGAGCGCCATCGGACGTACGGGGGCAAAGCCCTGAAGGAGAGGAAGGCTTACGTTAGCCACAGACTCCGTGCTGGGTCTGCCCCGGGCTGCGGTGTTGGGGCAACACGACTCGGCGAGAGGCAGAGAGACTCAGGAAGTGTCCCCCCGCCCCCCGTGCCTCCTTGGAGAGAGGGACGCCGAGGCTGTGCGCGGGAGAAACTGCCACGAGAGGCGGCGGTGAGCGGAGAAGCGACCACACCTAGAGTTACTACAGAATTTTAAAAATGAATAACAACTTGGACAAAAAAAATCTCAGAGGATCTCAAAAGGAGGGGGTGGTTTGAGGGGAGGAGGGGGAAAGAAAATGAAGTCGGGGGACATGCGGACGCAGATGGGGAAGGGCTCCGCCGCGCCGCGTCTCTTAAGGATGCGGCTGGCGCACCACGTGGACCCAGCCCCAGCCCTCGAGGCTCCAGCCGCCACCGCCGGTCCATCGGCCCCAGACCCTCCGCCTGCCCCAGGTGCTGGGGCGGGGACGGGCGCCGGTCCCCCAGCCACGCTCCATTGCAAAGTCACACTCCCATCGGTGGGACGTCGTTGCAAATGTCAAACACTGCTTTGCTGGGGGGTTTTCAGTCGTCAGCTCTTTCTGATTTTCTCTGGCCTGGAAATAAGTGTCATTATTTTGATAAGTTTGGAAATCATTGCCTGTCCCTTAGTGATCACCTGGCACAATGCAGCTACCAAAACATCACGCCCACCGGCCCGAGGCTCGGGCCAGAGCCCCCCAACCCCGGCGACGATGACTTACCTGTAAGGCCATCAGCCTGTGTTAGGACTTGCGAGTGGACGGTGGAACTGGAGGGGACCTAAGGCCCACGAGCCTGTGCCCTTTGTAACCGTCTCAATTTTGTACCCTGTGCCTTAAACGTGAAAAAAAAAAAATCATTTTAAGTAACTTTAAGGTAATCCCTGGGAAAACCACATGAAACTACAAACACAAGTTGAAAATAAGGTGGTGGATACGCCAGAAAAATGAGAACAGAATAAGCAGATGTCCGAGAAGTATAATTCGCGCAAAGTCACTAGAAGAACAGAAGAGAGATTTCACTTCTCGGGGGGAGGGCGGCAGCAGGGGCACGAGCCGCAAGCCTTTTCTCCACTGAGCAGAGGACACCAGGTCTGGAACGTGCGAGAACTTCACATCGCGATCAACCTGCTCCAAGTCAGCTGTCGTCTCTGTCCCAGTGAGTGACAACGCCACCCTGGCGGGGCTCAGCCAGGCAATTTCCGTCTTCCCTCTTTCATGGCCACAGAAAGAGCCAGTCAATTCACCGACTCCGCTGCAGACCGCGGAGAATCCGGCTGCTTCTCCCCCTACGGCGGTTCTCCCACGCGGCGCCTCCGTCGCCTGTCTCCAGGGTCCTGCCGCAGCCTCCTCCCTCCCGGGAGTCCCTGCGTCCATCCACCCAGCAGCCAGAGCGGTCGGAGACGCACAAGCGACCACGGCCGTCCTCGGAGCCACGGCGAGACAGCGGCGCACCCCCTGCAGGAAGGGTGGCCGTCAAAACACAGAAAACAATTCATTGGCCACAACGCAGAGAAATCAGAAGCCTGTGCTCTGCTGGGGGGACATAAAGCGGGGCAGCGACGTGGGAGCTGCTTAAAAGGCTCAGCGTGGAATCGCCACGTGACCCAGCAACCCTGCTCCTGGGAATAGACCCAAAAGCTGGAAGCAGGGACTTGAACAGGCACCCGCATGGCGGAGCTCAGCCAAAGGCAGAAGCCGCCCATGTGTGTTGGACGACTGGGCAAGGACGCGGTGGTCTGCACGTCCGGGGGGCATCGTTCAGCCTCCAAACCAGGACGCTCTGGCACCTGCCGCTGCGCGGATGGGCCTTGAGGGCACGGTGCTGAGGGAGGCGAGCCAGACGCAGAAGGACAGACGCTGCGTGGCCCACGCACCGGAGGCCCCTGGAGGAGTCAGACCCACAGAGACGGAGAGCAGATGGCGGTGCCGGGGCTGGGGCGCGGGGGTGGGGGCGCTCGGTGTGTAACGGGGGGCGGAGAGACAGAGGAAATGAGGAAGTCCTGGTGAGGCAACGGTGGGGACGTCCCTCACGCCGCCGAAGCGCTTAAACCGGGTACGTGTTACGTTGGTAGTTTGGGTTGGGGTGAATTTCACGTTAAGTGTATTTCAGCACAAAAAACCGCGAAAGCTGCCCGTGGCCTGCCTTCCCGGGGGACACAGAGAGGCTTCGCCTGGGTCTCTGGCTGCGTGGCCCGCGCGCTGCCTTCGCTGTCAGGCTGTGCCCACGCGCGCCCCGCCCGCCCCGCCGGGGCCACCAGCCTGCACGCCGCTCCGCGCGCACGGACTCTCCCACCCCACGGCCTTGCACGTGCGACCCCGCCGCCCGCGCCGCGCCCAGCTCTTTGCTGAGGTGCCTCAGCAGGGACGCCGCGCCTGACAGTGGTGCCCGACGTGGACGTGTTGAACAAACGATTGAGTGAATGAACGAATGAATGAATGAATGAAACAAACAAGAAAACCCGAAAAGCTTCACAGAAAGCGGACAAAGGGTGGGACTCGGCGACCCCCCGGCGGGACAGACCCAGTAGCTGATAAAGCTGTGAAGCGCTGCTCAAGCTCACGGACCAGTTCCTTCAATCTGGTAGAGTGGACGATTTTACAGGCGAATAAGAAACCAAACTAAAACAGCAGTGAACTTCTTCTTGACACCTACTTAGGCAGGCGCGGCACGGTAGAGGGCCCCGAGGTCGCGGGCAGCCTGTGGGGTGGCGGGAGCCCTCGCTCGCTGTCATGGGTGCTCGGGACAGTGCCGGCTGCATCCCAGTCTCCACCTCGGGGACATTCCCGTGCACGTGCGGCAGTATCCACATGGACTTGGGGACAGATCAGGGAACGCGACCAACAGAGCGTGGTGGAGACAAACCTCCAGTTCGGAGCAGCAGGTAAAAGCAATGAAGTCAATCTGCACAGACGAGGTGATGGATCTTAAAGGTCTGTGTTGAGGGCTTTTTTTTAATCTTCACCTGAGGGTATGTTTTTATTGATCTGAGAGAGAAAGAGAAATTGATGTGAGAGACACATTGATCAGTTGCCTTGTGTACACGCCCCAACTGGGGATTGAACCTGCAACCTCAGTATGTGCCCTGACCAGAAATTGAACCCACCGCTGTTTGGCGCACAGAACCACGTCCAACCAGCAGAACCGTCCGGCCAGGGCTGTGTTGAGTTTTCAATAAAAATGGGAAAAGGCTCCAGCCAAGTACCGCTCTTCTATTTTCTACTCGCATCAAAGGGCTTTGTGCACAGAGCTGAAGAGTCGGACGCGCGCGATCTGGGTCAGGCGCTCTGGAAAGGGCCTGGCGGCGCCACCATCGCTCTGTGGCCGCGTGGCCCGGTGCTGTCTGCAGAGACGCTGCCAGGGACAGCGCGCGAGTCGCCGTCGGCGTCGGTAATGACCAAGGACAGAGTGAGGCTCATTTCTGACTCCCTGCCTGGGTTTTCTAATATTCCCGCTGCCTTCCTGAGGCTTCTGTCCCTCCCATCTGCCTTCCGTGGGACGGGCTGGATGTTCTTTACTCTGTGGATTTCTCTGTTCTGGACGTTTCACATAAATGGAATCACAGCATGTGGTCCTTTGTACCTGGCTTATTTCACGTACTAGAACGTTTTCAAGGTGTTCCCATATCGCAGTGCATGTCAGCAATTCCATTTTATTGCTGAATAATAGGGACCACCCACCCACCCACCCATCCATCCACCCACCACCAGCCCACCCACCCACCCACCTACCCACTTACCCATCCATCCATCCATCCATTGATCCGTCCACCCCCTGCCCGCCCACC